GGGCGGTGCGCAGCTGAGTCATCAGACTCGCAATCACGGTCGAGGTGGCCAGGTGCCGTGCCTTGCTGAGCCACTGCTGCAAGTCACCCTGTGCACACCATGACTGCACCAAGTAGGCGCTGGGGTGGCCACTGTGTACGTCCACGAGCGCGCCAAGGACCGGAATGATGTGAGGGTGCTCAAGCTGGCGCATGGCGCGCAGTTCGCGGAGAAACGTCCGACACTGATCTTGTTTGTGTTGCTCAGCAAGTGCATACTCTTTTACAGCCAAATCTTGTTCAGGAAGATTCGGCAGCGTTGCGCGGGCTTTGTATACCTTGTGATTCTGGTTGTATTGGAGAGACAGCTGACCCAGACTGGAGAGCGTCAAACCCCGGTCTACTTCGGTCATGGCCTCCAAGATCAGACTGGCTGGAAGGTCGGGGCCAAGCACTGTGCGGAGGCGCGCTCCCAGCGTGCTCTGTTCAGGGTGCAAAAAGACCAGCAGTGCTGGGAAGTGTTGGTGTAGTAGCTCTGCCAGTGCCGCCACCTGGTCTACCTGTGTTTGATCCGATAGTTGTTGCTGTAAAGTGACCAGGCGCTCCTTCATGTTTTGCAATCGATCCTCGAGGCCAGCTCGCATCTCATCTGGAGCCAACGGCAAGAATGCCGTAGTTGTCTGGATGTTCTTCTGCAGCTCGGCCACCTCCTCATGAATGTACACAACTTGATCTGCGCTGCTCTGCGTGATGCCGCTTGCATACTCTTCGCACGAAGTCAGCACGTTCAGCGTCGTGGTTTGCCAGTCGATCATGTCTTGCAGCTGCTGCAACAGGGCTTGCGCCTCGTGAAGCGCAAACACCAGATACCAGTCTTGATGCTCATAGTCGTGCTCGACTCTCCATGTTATCAGCTGCTCCAGGCCGTTTTGCTCGGGCAAGCTCAGCGTTTCGTGAGCTTGGCACAGCTCCTCCCAGGCCTCGGGCAATGCCTCGGTTGGAGGTGGTGCACTCACATCCAACCGTTGCGCACACTGCTCCAGTCTCTCCACTCGATGGTCCGTGTCGGTGGTTCCCGCTCTTGCCACAGCACGCAGGGCAGTAATCAGCTTCAGCACTAGCTGCTCGAGGTTGTTGTTGGCGTTGGTGAACAGTTCTATGCGCTTGGCTCCCACGTCGCGTAGCATGGCAACTTTGTCCAGGGCTGCACCGAGGTTGGCGGGTGGCGTTTCGGGTGCCATTGTCAGCGTGGTGGGTGGAGCGGGGCACGCTGCCAGCACGGTTTGAAGCTTAAGAAGCACCGGCTGCAGCTCAAAACCAGCTGTGACACCATGCAGCTCTTGCAGCACTGATTCTAGGTTGTCAGTGTTTGGGTCCAATTGACCCAAGCGGTTGCTCAACGCTTCGGGCGCTGCCAGTGCCTGGTCGAGTGCGCCGAGGGCCTGGGTGGTGGTCGCCTGGAAGGCAGGCCAGTCCATGGCAGGAAACTCTGGTGGCGCTTCATCGATGGTCCTCTGGATGTCCGCAACTGCCGTTGCAAGATTGGGGGTTTGTTTGGCGGCACCGCTGATAAAGGCATCGAGGTGGGGGAGGGGATGGGTGGTGGTGCGCTCCGGCAGGAGGGGCCTGAGCCAGGTATCCACCGCCACCACAACAGAGGCCGTGGTCTGATGGAGGGTTGTGTGGTGCCATTGGTCGTGATTAGGTTGGACGAGGCCGTGGGGATTGGGGTAGTGAATGCATTGGGGAAAACAAGATGGGGGAGCAGGCTCACCTCGAGGGTGGGGGTGGTGGGCAGAGGCGGCAGCCAGGCGGAAGGCGGTGCCGGCGTAGGCGGAGCGAGTGGTGCGGGTGGTTGTGATAGGCGAGTCTTGTGAGCAGCAAACACGGGTTCCAGCTTGTCGCCATGTCCTTCTTGACGTCCGAGATCAAGGGGCGTTCTGCCACCCTGAGAACATGTGATTTGAGCGTGTGAGGTGGGCAGCGACGCGAGGGCTGAGTTGGGCGACGTGCATTTGCTTTGATATAACAAAGGCGAGGTGACAATGCTTTGAAGTGTGCCGGAGCCGCCAGACGCGCGAGTGGTGTGCAAATGGTGCGGGCAGGTAGCAGGGGTCCGAACGGAGGCGCGCTTGGAGAGAGAGAAAAAAAAAAAAAAAAGGAAACGGCGCGTGTGCCGGGGGCAAAAGTGAAGGCACGGCCACCGAAAGCCGCTTGAGCGTGCGAGGGAGGCAGAAGCGTGATGGCAACGCGTTGGGGATGGATCAGAAAAAGGGGAGAGCGAGGACGGCAGGCGAAAGAGACCAGCGGGAGCAGGGCGGGGCGCGGAGAGCACCGGCAAAGCGCGGACGCAAAACGGGGAAAGAAGAGGGATAGCGGGAAAGAAGAAAAGGAGCCAGGGGGGGAGGAACGGACGCGCACGGGCGGGCAGGGTGTCGCAGAGAGGAGGGACGGGGGCAAAGGCGACGGGGCAGCGGGAGCAGGAGCAGCAGTCATAGGGGGGTAAAGGGGGGAAGGAGGGAGGTACTCTACTGACGTTGGCCTTGGCTTCAGCATCAGCACCGTGCTTCAACAGCATCTCCACCACCTTGACATGACCGTAAGCGCAGGCCTCGTGCAGTGGTGTATAGCCACCCTGTGGGATGATGCATCAGCATGACGTACAGGTACAGCATCATCATCATCATGGGGTACAGGTGCACCATCATAGGGGGGTTAAAGGGGGGGAAGAGGGAGGTACTGTACTGACCCTGTCCTTGGCTTTAGTATCAGCACCGTGCTTCAACAGCATCTCCACCACCTTGACATGTCCGTTGTGGCAGGCCATGTGCAGTGGTGTATAGCCACCCTGTGGGATGATGCATCAGCATGACGTACAGCATCATCATCATCATCATCATCATCATGGGGTACAGGTGCATCATCATAGGGGGGGTAAAGGGGGGGAAGAGGGAGGTACTGTACTGACGTCGTTCTTGGCTTTAGCATCAGCCCCGTACTGCAACAGCATCTCCACCACCTTGTCATGACCGTATTGGCAGGCCTTGTGCAGTGGTGTATCGCCATTCTGTGGGATGATGCAAACATCATGACGTACAGGTACAGCATCAGCATCAGCATCATGGGGTACGGGTGCACCATCATAGAGGGGTAAAGGGGGGAAGGGGGAGGTACTGTACTGACGCTGAACTTGGCTTTAGCATCAGCACCGTGCTTCAACAGCATCTCCACCACCTTGACATCACCGTTACCGCAGGCCTCGTGCAGTGGTGTCCAGCCATTCTGTGGGATGATGCATCAGCATGACGTACAGGTACAGCATCATCATCATCATCATCATGGGGTACGGGTGCACCATCATAGGGGGTAAAGGGGAGAAGAGGGAGGTACTGTACTGACGTTGGTCTTGGCTTTAGCATCAGCACCGTGCTTCAACAGCATCTCCACCACCTTGACAAGACCGTTACGGCAGGCTCTGTGCAGTGGTGTATAGCCATACTGTGGGATGATGCAAACATGCAGTATATGTCCCATGTTATACCATAACGTCACCCCATCCAGTGACATATTCAAAGTGTAACCAATATCACACAACATCATACCAAACAGCATACGTACCAATTTGTATTGGGCAGCACGTCGTATACGTTGTTGGTCCCAACTGGTCACCAGCTGCAACACCCCTTGTGGATCTATTGAATTACACGCATCCCACAGCTGCTTTCCATCATCACTCATGGTAACGGTATCTCTCTCTATTCACCATCCGCTTCAAACCGCTTTGCTTGCTTCTCTATCCACCACCAATCTCATGAGCCCCCTCCAAGTACAACTCGTCTGACAACCTAGAATTCGGACTGGGATTCGACAGGCGCGCCGTTTCCAAAACGGCAGCCGGTCACCGGGCCCTTTGCTCTTCTCTGCCTGGTGCACCAAACGACGCACCTTTGGCCAATAGTTCTCGGTGACAGTGGCGAGGACCGGTGGACTTGGTTGCCCAGCGCACGTCGTCGACTGCGAGGTGAGATCAGTGAGGTCAACTGAAAGCAAAAAACAAAAAAATGGCAGCAGTGCTTTCAATCAAAACGTTCTGGCGTCGCTGCAGGGCCCCGACCAGGAAAGTCCGGTACCAAGCACAAACGATCAGTCACCACGCACACACACACACACACAAAGCAAGACACGTCAAGCAGCCCGCCGATGCCGATGCCCACCGCTGCCAAAAAAGGGCAGCACCAACATCAAAAGCACAAGCAAAAGCAAAAGCAATGGCAAACAATTGAAAGGAAGAAAAATGCAAGCAACACACACACACACACGTTTACACCTTTTTCTTCTTCTTTTTTAATTTTTTTATTTTCAAAGAAGAAAAGCAAGCAAATTCCATCCGCACGTCCTGGACCGGGCTCACGGGTGGTAAGGACGGTTTGCGCCGGTCAATCGGATCGCCACGCCCAACGTACCTGCCAAATCTATTGGCTCGGCCGATCGAGCCCCCGTGTATTTCTTTCTTCTGCGCACCAACCACACCCATCGAGAGTGTAATTCGTCTCAGTCTCTCTCTTTTTATGTATCTCTCAAACTCTCTCTTTCTCTCAAACTCTCTCTCTCTCAAACCCTCTCTCTCAAACTCTCTCTCTCAAACTCTCTCTCTCAAACTCTCTCTCTCAATCTCTCTCTCTCAAACTCTCTCTCTCTAACTCTCTCTCTCAAACTCTCTCTCTCAAACTCTCTCTCTCAAACTCTCTCTCTCAAACTCTCGCTCTCTAACTCTCTCTCTCTAACTCTCTCTCTCAAACTCTCTCTCTCAAACTCTCGCTCTCTAACTCTCTCTCTCAAACTCTCTCTCTCAAACTCTCTCTCTCAAACTCTCTCTCTCAAACTCTCTCTCTCAAACTCTCTCCGTCTCTCAAACTCTCTCTCTCTTTCTCACGCCTTGTGTACGAACAACGTGTACTGCCCCTCTGCCAGCCATGACAGCTCGCCTCTTTCACCACAAAAATGGGGCTCGTACCTACAACATGTACTGCCCCTTTGCCAGCCATGCCATTCCAAGCCCGTTGGCTAAATGCCCCCCTCTGGTCATACCAATCTTATTCTCCGCCCAAACGTGAGCGACCATTCCTGACGTGAGCGACCATTCCTGACGGCGAGCTTTAGGTTCATCGCCATGGCGGTCATGGTGCTGCTCGTTCCCTTTGAACGCGCTGGAGCATTGCAACGGCAACCTTCACAAACCGATATATCTCCTGCAATAACTTACATCATCATTCCTACCAGAACTACATTAACTTCTCGTATATCGAAATAAACGGCTTAAAGAAGAGTAAAAAACCGAGGTGCATTTCCCCTGCAGCAACTTGCATCTCTACGCAAAATAAGAGGGTGTGTTCAACATTGCGAGGTTCGGGGCAGCAAGGGCAGCGGGTGACGGGACTGAGGAAGGGCAGCGGGAGAGGAGCAAGTGTAGCAGAGACTCTTTTTGAACGAGGTCGGAGGGAGAGAAGATGGTGCTTGAGGGATCAAAGAGTCTGTCTACACGCGTGGGTGGTTGCCACCACAAGCTCATGCATAGTGGAGGGCCTGCCTGGCTCACTGACTGCAGTTTGGAAACACCCACCCCGACAGAAGACCCATCATAAATTTAAGAATGGACACACGCGTATACAAGAGGGAGTTGGCCCTCCCCGGAGATTTCAATTGTAGGCGCGATCGCGGCCGTGGGGCTCGCTGAGCAACGCCTCGTAATTGTCCGGCCCTTGGGCCACAATGCCCAGAGGATTGATCTTGCGATGGGAACCTACAGCAACATGCAAAGCGCCAGAACACACACGCGCGCGCGCACACACAACCAATGTCGTCGTCAGCTCAGCTCGGACACGCTCATAAACCTTGGACACTTTGGCCTCAGCCCATCTCTCACGCGCTGTCGGCACGGATCGTACCAAAGTAGTGCTTCTTGGTCTCCAGCGGGTTAAACGTCGCGCTGACACCCTCCATCTGGTAAATCTCCCGCGTGTAGCCCCACAAGTTGGGGTAGTCCACCACGCGGCGCTTGTTGCACTTGAAATGGGTATGGTATACGATATCAAAGCGCAGCTACTCATCCAATAACCCACACCAAATGAGCACATCGACATCACGTCGATTGGTGTGTGCGGTTGCTTTCGAGCCAAGGAAGAAAAAAAATAAAACGTACCAAGGTGGTGACCAAGCGAATGTCCGAAAGGGTCAGTCGGTCGCCACAGAGATAGCGCTGCTTGCCCAACAACGCCTCGACCTTGTCCAAAGCGTCAAACAGCTTGGTGCAGGCCGTATCGTAGGCTTCCTGGCTGCCCGCAAAGCCACAGCGATATACGCCCTGAAAATGGGCCCAGCACGAGACACACGAGTTCAAATCAGCTGCACACCCCCAAAAACTCGGCCTTGATACAAGACAGTGTCTGCCACATACATCGTTGATGTTGGGATACACGAGCTCGTCAATCTCGGTCATGGCCGATTCCAAATCGGCCGGCTCCAGGTCCAGCTCGGGACGCTTGGCCAAATCGTTGAACTGTGAGTTGAACATGCCTAAAAGTCAAGGATATGTGCACGAGTCAGGCACCACACCAAGAGGTGAGCGCCACAAAGAGAACAGATCATCGGAAGAAATCCTCAAGTTGTCCTTGAAAAGGACAGAGGAAAGTTGTCTGAATCTGATTGTTTTGTTTTTTTTTTCTTTAAAGAAAAAAAGGCCAAGGGGTGGCGCGCGGGAGGCTTGGGGGCAGGCTGACGCACGGATGATTTCGCTGCTTTCATTGTTAACAATGGTCTAAAAAAACGATCGCGAGCCCGCGGCATGCTTGATGAGATTGCGTCCGGGACGCATTGCAGGCCCGTGGAGGATGAACCAACCTGAGTCTTCTTATCAAAGAGGACGGGCACGGAAAGCTTCTTGTACGGATAGCCGGGCTGTGCCAAATTGTAAACCTGGCAGATCATCGGTACATGATGGAAAAGGGTCATGAGGGCATACTGGAGCGTGATGCCGCAAGTGGCCTCTGAAAGAAAAAGCCAAGAAAGGTCTCGGAGGAGCAATGGCTGGTGCGTACGTCGTGAAGATACTCAAACTCTGGGTGAAGAGGATCGGGGTCCTCCTTGGTAAAGGGCCAGCCGCGGTAGGGTCGGCCATCATCGGGCCACTCCAGAAACCAGCCTAAAGCCGACGCGGGCCATGGAATAGCGCAGTGGTGTGGTGCCAACGGCGTGAGGGCAGGGCGTGGTCCTTGGGAAGGGTGGATGAGCAAAGCTGTGGCTGAGGGAGGAAGGGTGCGAAAAGCTAACCAAGCATGGTGACGGAGATGACGTCTTCGAGGCCCTTGAGCGAGCGCATCAAGAGGGCGCGGTGGGCCCAGGGACAAGCCCATGCCACGTCTAAAAAGGATGGGCCGAAATGAGTCGCAAGGCACTTTCCAAAGCTCGAAGCACTGTCCAAAGCATGTGTGTGTGCATGCACGCGCAAGGCGAGGGGATGGCAAAAACACAGTCGAGACGCACAGAGGTGGTAGCGACCGGCTTCGGCCGGGTACTTTTCCGAGCCAATGGTGTCGTGAAAGGCCGTCGGGGGGCGACGGAAGGCACCAGCTTTGGCCTCTTCCTCAGACACGCCAAATTTGTTTTGGTCCGAGCCTTCGACCTACGCACGAATTTGGAAAGCGCCAGCGTCAGAAGCTGCAAGTGGCCAGGATGGCAGGCACCAATAGGCGAGACCAACGTGGGCAAATTGATCCGAGGCAGTGGTGCCAAAGATGTCGCCTTGACTAGCGCCGGCGTTATCCTTGTTAGCAGCCATTGTGAGCAACCGGGATTGAGGCAAGACTGCAGAGCCGAAGCTGAATCGGGATGCGCAATAGTACAGCAGCAAAACGTTGATGAGGGGCCAGGTTTGCGACTTTTTAAAAAAAAAAAGAAAGAGGTCACAAGTGATAGAGTCGGCACGCAACAACAACAACAACAAAGAAACGAGCCGGATGAGGGAAGACATACCGGTGGGTCGAGGTAGCGCGGGCAAAGGGCTTGCTGGTGACGCCGGTGTGCGCAGTTCGAGAGGCTGTGAGCAGACGCTTGGAGACGGGAACACTCGATCGCCACAACCGCTGAAGATGCGCTCCAAACATTGATAGCTGAACATGGCAGCACGTAGCACGGTCCGTGAGAGTTGGGGCCAGGTAGGAGTACGCAGGACAGGCAACAGTCTTTGCGCCAAGCCACAACCAGGACGTACCGAGGAAGGAGTACACCATCCTGTACTTTGTCTTTGAGAAGACCTTTGCCTGCCACCAATACCCCGCCGAGGAGGTCGTCACCTATTGCCGTTCAATACGACAACCAGACGGTCCGTACGCTCAAGGGCAGCTATGATCCGTCCCTTTCTAGATCGCCGTGTCGGCTCCCGCTCAAACTTCCCCGCTTATCGAAACACACTGGCAGGTCGCCCCCACTTGGACGACTGCGTATGTCGATGACAACTGCAACAACCGCGCCCATATCCTCAACGAGTTGGTAGCCCACCCAACTGCTGTGCCCCGGCTTCTCACACGCAACGTGCAATTTGACCAATGTCTCACTCTGCCTTGATGCATCTTGCTTAGAACTACCATCTCCATCACCTGGGATACCTCCATGTAAATGTGTGTCTATATCAGACGCTGGCCTTCAGCAACACAGGGGCCGGCTGCGTACGACACACCCCATGCCCCTCCTCCCCCCCTTTCTTTTTTTCTTTTTTGCGCTGACTGCGGCTTTCAAAGTGGGCAAGTCTCCCTTGCCATACACAATTCAACACCTAGAGGTGCAATTTTGTTGGCATGTACCTGTACATGTTGCTGCTGTGCTGCCAGTACACTCGACAAAGCAATCCAACACCATCTCTCCGACCCCCCACCCCGATTTATGACACATCTGCTTGTCCTTCTTTTTGCAATTCTGCCTGACATTGTTTTTACACCCAAAATCAGAATAAAATCGCACCCGCACCACCACTAAGACCCAGTTGCAAGATCGTGGACACGCTGTGCAATTCTTCACCACCACCACCACTAACGCCCTCATCGGGGGTTGCTCCAGAAATTGGAAAGACGTCGCACACGGACGTGGTGCAATACACTTGGCGTTTGCCCTTTGTCGTTTTCCGTTTGTCGTTTGTGACCCTCAGCGGGCAGAGCGCGTGCGGAGTCGGGTTGGCACCTGGGATTAAATTAAACCCGGCAGCATGGCAAGGATGGTGAACCAGTGCACAGTCGCTGCCCGGCTTGTCCGACTCATGCTCGGGCTTGCTGTGATAAGGTCGACACTTGCATTAGATGTCTTTGTTGCTACAGATGGCTCAGACGCCAACAGCGGGACTCAGACAACACCTTTTGCCACCGTGGAGCGGGCCCTGGTAAGCCTTCTCCGCCCTGATTTGCTGCGCGACACGGACAGTCACTAGCTGCACCGCATCGTCAGCTATTGCCGCATGGCTGTCACCCGCACAACCGAAACCGGGTCTTTTTTCTGCATGTTGACATACCATTGATGCGCGTAGGCAGCTATCCATCAAAACGCCACTGCTGGCACCAATACCATCAACCTCGAGAGCGGTACCTACTACCTGCCAACCCGGGAGTCAAACAAACAATCAATATCAACTTGAACCGTTGGTTTGACCAGCAGCAGATGGTGATTCAATCAGCCACACCCCATGACCCCGCGGTGAGTTCTGCTCGGAATGATCGCAAAACAGACCCCCTTCTGATCTCCAATGCAAAGTGCTAGCCATCTCCTGCGCTACGCCCCCGCCTGTTCTCACGCGGCTGCTCTAGACCTTGAGCGGAGGCATCCTGGTGACCAACTGGTCCAAAACCAGCCAGGGCTTCTACGAAGCTCACCTCTCGGCTTGGAAGCCTCGGCAGGTCCTGCAACTTTGGGCCAACAATAAACGCCAGCGCCTCGCACGGACCTCAACCCTGACGTACCTTGCAGCTAACGCCAATGGTTTTACCGTGCGTCCCGAGGATCTCACGGCCGTCCCAGACAATCTCTCCCAAGCTCAAGCTGTCATGTTTGAGTCTTAGACAGCCAGCATCCACACTCTCCGTAGCATTGATCGAACATCCGGCAACATCAACTTTTACACACCGTACAACGCACAATGGGCTTCGTCCGCCGCCGGTGCTCGCTTCTATTGTACGATTCTAAGCCACCATGATTGGACTGCCTCCTCCCAAACCTGCTTTTTGTCTCTGTAAACTAGTCTCATGTATCGTTTATTCGTGCCTCTAGTCCAAAACACCATGGAGGCTTTGGATCATCATGGCGAATTCTTTTATAATGCTTCGACATACCGCCTCACTTGGTACCCCTCGCCAGAGTTGGACCTGTCAACTGCCACCGTCGTGGTTCCTCTTCTCACCGAGGTAAGGCTGATCAGGGCGCTCACCTTTTTCGCGAGTGTACCAGCGCGGTCAGCATGGGGCCACGTGTTTCACAAAACCGCTCTGTGCTGGTATAGCTGGTGACGATCAAGGAAGTGCACAACTTTGACTTTGTCAATCTTCAGTTCCAGCACGCTGCTGTCGACCTGTCCCCGAGAAGAGGCGAGTCGCAAAATCGTTATACACTCGCAGAGGCTGTGCACTTTGGTATCTAATGGCCACATCCATGTGACCTGTGAAGATTGAATCGTAGATGAGAGCAGCAGGTGAGGTTGCAGATTCTGCCGAGGCATGGACGACGCCTTGGCCAACGTCAGCAAACCAAGCTGCCACGACGGCCATGGTTTTTGCCTCGCTGAGCATGCCAATGGAGGCATTGGCACAAAGCACCGTGCCTTGCGTTGTACTCCAAGATAGTAGTAACTGGGGCACACGGACACCAATTATCACATTGGTGCTGGTGTCTGTGGCGTGGATATAGGTGGTACTGGTTTGAGGAGGGTGGAACGTCAGTTCACAGTTGCTGATGTATATGTCGGACCCAGCTGCAGTCACCAGGGTGGTGTTGGACACCATAGAGTAAATGACACTACCCACGAGAAGAACGTATCGACTTCTCTCGTCGATCAAAACGACAGACGTGTGAGGCAGGGCAAAGAGAATGGTGGGAGCTTTGACCAAGATCCTTTCGCTGTTCAGAATGGTCAAGTTCTAGGATGTGATCCGTTTGTGGTCAATTCACAAAGCAAACAGAGGAAATAGAAACAGGAAAGGTACAAAGTAAAAATGCCACTTCCGGTCTACGGGACCGTACGTATATCTCGGTGGCAGGAACAATCACAATGTTCTACAGGCTTCCTTGGCGAGCGCCGTCAAGGATCACCAGACATCATCCTGCAGTCGTTGATCACGATAGTCAGGACTGGAATCTTCCAGTGTGTTCCAGCAGCTTCTGGACATACGTCTATGCTTGTAGTCCAATACCAAGCCACTCTG